TTTTCTGTTTTGAGGGATTATTTTAATATTGCAAAAAACACGTTTGGTTTGTTATTCCGAAAAATTGTTTCTAAAAAAAAAAAAATTAGAAAACACGTTTGGTTTTTTTTTTTATAAAATTAGAAATAGTTTGATGACATTTTTTTTTCAATCAATTTGATTATTTAGTAAAACATATCAATTTTATGCTTGTATGTGATTATTTAGTTTTATGGGTATTTGTGTTTGGGTAGGTTTTGTATGATTTTATTGATCATTTTAATTTGAGAAATGTTTAAATTCATTTTCCTTGTTTTGAGTTTTTTTGAGTATTTTCATTGAAAACACTCAAAACTTCAAGAAGCCATTTTGAGTTTTATGTAGTAAAATTTTCCTTGTTTTCGAAAACGTAGTTTTGAAAGTAACATACTAAACACGTTTTGAGTGTTTTAAAAAACTGAAAATGGCATCAAAACGGAAAACCAAACGCTTCATTGCCAACCTTTTAGGTAATAGTTAATATTTTGTGAATTTCAATTTTTTGTACGAGAATACTTGTTGGAGAAATACTTCCATGTCTCCCATAAATGTTAAGGTAGAAATGTGATCGAGAGTTCGTCCCCTAATATGTTCCTACTAGAACTAAATCGTTTCTTATCAATTTAGATAAATGTCTTTCTTATACGCTCGATCATCAATTTTCAAAATCCTATGTTCTTAGGTTTGATCGAGCTAGTTAGGGTCGGGACTTGATGGATCATTGTAATCCCAACTCCAAGAGCTCGAGTCCACTCAATTATTAATTCTTGTCTAACTAAGATTAAGTCATTAATATTGGGTCAACCAAATTACAAAAAGTGAAAAATTCACAACTCAGGCTTTATCTATCCCAAAATTAAAAATCAGGCCTCAAAGTTTAGAATTGCAAAAATCATGTTTTTCATTAATTAATTAATTATATTTCACAATTATTATATTAAATTAAATATTTAAATGTAATATAATTAACCCCCCACTCCACCCCCACCTCCACCATCCCTACTGCTCCGGCGACTACTCCGGCGACTGTTCTCCGGCTGTAATATATTAAATTCAGATTCTGGCTAGTAGAGTTCCTTTAGGCTGACAATTAACGACAGTAAATGTGACATTACCGATCACAGTTCGGAGGTGGTAATCTCCAGTCACAGTGCAATTCTGTTCGTAGTGTTGGAGTGGATTGGAGTTCAGGTCACAATTTCCATTGCTGGTGCCGATCATACACATTGCAATTGTGGAGGACATGGTCACAATCGTAGAAGATGTAGTAGCTTGGTTCCATTAAGTCAATCTTAGACAGTAGACATAACAATTTTA